CAGATGAAGTTAACCTGAAAATGACACTCGTGAGGTCCATCTGCTTCCAGGCGTTAGGACCTGACAAGAACCAGCCCTGCGTAACCGCTCCCCCACGTCCGGTGCTGACGTTGGGTCTTCAGCATCTTACCTGGTGCACAGGCGTGGGCTTCCAGTCCTTCCCTCCTCTCCCGCGCACGTTCATCGCCCAACAGTTCTGAGAGTTGTAGGTCAGATCTGTTTTCCTTTAGCCCAGGTGGAATCACTGACGTATCTTCCAAGTTGTTTCTAAAAATAAATGATGTTAGAATTGTAAATTGCACAGACAGTACTGCAAACTTCTTTGTGGAGGATTGGAAATAAAACTTGCGTTGTTTTTCTAAGGGCCGGGGCTTTAAGGAAAATATCGTCTATGGAGACAATTAAGACTCAGTGACACCTTAATTGCCTCCCTTGAGAATGAACGCTAGGCATACAGACACGCAGCATTGTGCTGTGTAAGGGTACCCAAGCCAGCAAGGTCTCAAAATCAATACGCCTGCATTAGTCAGGCACAGAGCCCTGGGTAATTCATCCTGCAGAGAAAAACTGCACTGACAGGGCCATACTGCTTTTTGTATTACTAGTTCACTCAGAACTATTTTCAGGTCCAGCGCTGCACTGTATTTTCAGATGGCTCAGCGTTTCTCATTTGTGTGGAGTCTTTTTTTTTTTTTTTTTTCATACCAGTCCCTGTAGGAAACAGCTTTATGGCCACAGGCAGGACTTACCCATTTAGCTGCACAGGACACTTGGAGGAGGACCAGGCCGTTAGCTGTTATGTGGCCTGTTGCTTAGAAGAAAACGCGATACACCTTTGTTAGTTGTATGAGATGCAAGTAGAACACAGACTATGGGGGTTCTTGGTATTGCAAGCTGAGCAGTTCGGTGCTTAGAGACACTTGCAAATGGGAAGTTAAAAATAACGCCTTTTCACAAGATGGGTCTGCTACTGGGCATCAGTAGTACTCCTGGTTGTAACTGAAGAGTCTGTAATGGGAATCTATGATGCATGTAGAGTAACTTAGCACATAGGAAAAGCAGTGAGCCAAGTCAATATTCGTATATAGTAACTAACTACCGTCTCCCTTAAATCCCACTCTAGAGAAAGCCTGCAAAGATGGATCATTAGCAGAAGTTGTGAAAAACACATGCATGTTTGTCAGCGGGCAAAAGGTGAGATTATATAACTCATGCGTCCCTTGGGCTGAGAAGTTCTTTTGCTCGCCCTCAGATATATAATATTCTTGTGTGTGTAGGCAAATGCCACAGAAGGGTGTGTAAGTGGTTGCCAAGCAAAGCAACTAGCACTTTCCAGATCTGGAGTCTCCTGTTGGTTTTTAACAAAAGTTTAATTTATTTTCCTGTACTTTTTCATCCACTGCTCAGTCCTCTTCCCTGCTATTCCCCCTTAGATTCCTGTTTTCATACCCTGAGTTTGCGTCTCCTCTCAGCACTAAAGTGCACCATATAGTACCAGCCTTTTGTGTCATGTTGAGGTGAAATACTGTCGCATCAGGATGCGTCAGTATTATTTGCATTATAGCAGCACTTAGTGGGTCAGCTGAGATAAGTGGCCCTTTTTGCCAGCCATTTTACAAAACATATGAGACAAACACAGAGTTTGTAATCTAATTAGACGGGACAGAAAATGGTAGAAAAAACCAAGACAGGGTGAAAAGTTTAAGCACGCTTACAGAACAAAGATTCTGGCAGAGACCAGAGGGAGAACCAAACTTTCCTGCGTCCAGAGTGAATGCTTTAGATCGTACTTTCCCAAAACAGGCAGGAGGCCCCACAGGAACATGCACTTAGAGTATACGCTACTTTCTGGCCAAAAGAAGAAAAACACTGTTGTAGATGTTCTTTCCTCCCAGCTTCCACTAGGACAGAACAATGTTTCCGCTACACAGTGGTGGTGTCATCCTTCACTGAGAGGTCCTAGTAGAATAGAATAGGGTAGAATAGAGTAGAGTAGAGTAGAGTAGAATAGAATAGAATAGAATAGAATACTTCAGTTGGAAGGGACCTACAACGATCATCCAGTCCAA